CGCCCTTCCTGCCTCGCAGACAACACGCAGCCAATGGCCATGACCTGGGCACTGTCCGGTGGGGAGACTCTGCAGGCCCAGAGAGTCAGACAGAGAAACCATTCTTGGAGGCAGGTTTGCTTTTGGGAAGAGAGAAGTATGATACTTGATGTACCTGTGGAGGAAGGGGCAAACAAAACCACTAACTGACAAAATGCAGGACCTACCAGTACCAACAACCAAGACGCAGATCTGATCTTTTCCAGATCATAATGTATATATTTTAGAGTTTAAAATTTGACAAAAAAAGTGACCTTACTGAAAAAAGTATTTTTTCACTATTTTAATCATAGAATAGTTTTTAGTAAAATACAGACTTCTTTAAAATATTTTTAAAACAGTAGTCTTGACTGTAAAAACAGTTACTGCTTATCGGGTGAATAGACCAAGCAAAACATGAAGTTACTGAAGTAAACAGGACTATTCCTTATACAAAACAGATGCAGGATTAGGTCTTGCATCATGGCTTTAAGAAGATAGTAATGGAATCAGAGGTTATTGCAAATACCGAATTTTAGAGTGATCACTTCAGAACTGCTACAGTATAAGGACATAAATAAGATATGTAGGTTCAACCCTTGATGCCCCAGGTAATTTTAATACAAAGGCTATTGATTTCATGTTAGGAAATTACTAAGTACAGATGCTAAGTAATAACAGTTTGACTGCATTTTTTAAAATTAAACTGCGTTGGGCTCTGAAGAACAGATTCTAGGTCACTGAATTTGCAAAGGCAGAATCTAGCAAGGGAAAGATTTAAAAATCAACCCTCCTCAGAGCACCAATAACTGTCCCTTTAACTGGTGAAAGGCAGCAGAAAGGTTTGAGCATCACAGATACGGGGCAATTTTAATGTTAGAGTTTGAACTCAGTCGCATCTTCAGAAGGGGAACAAGCTTGGAGGCCCTTTAAAAGTGAAAGCTATTAGTGTAGCAGTCACTATAGTACTATACCACATACATTGCAGATATTTTTCAAGATTCAAATTAGCAATTTTTAAAAGAAAAATGGAACTAACGGTTTTCTAAATTAATTAAATGAAGGTTGCAAATCTTTAGCTTTCAAGAATGATAGGAAAAGAAGGCTAAGTTAGAAGAACAAAGTGAAAAATGCCAAGATCAGGTTTCTTTTTAAATTAGCAAAACCCAAATATTGTTACTTGAGAGTCTAAATTCTTTGCTGCTCAGAAGTTGCTTCTCAATCATGTTTTGCACTACAGTGTGTCTCTATAAACAACTTCGTCTTTAGAAGCGACACTTTAGAGGTGTCTGAATGGGCGGAGTCATTTGACTCGATTCACTCCATGAGATTTAGGGCTTGATGGTAAAAAGAACCAAGTACTGTATTGTTAGCTTTACGATAACCAATGACAAACATAATACAGTGCACTGTAGAAATACTCAGGAAAACAGTCAGACAGTGACTATTGCATTTTCACTAAAGTCATTTTTTTTTGCTTATTTAAATTCACTGACAGGATGAGGCTTAATTTTCAGAGAAAAGTTATTCTATCAGTGCATAACAATAAAAAGATTAACCAATAGGATTTCTAGATATCACTCAAAAAACTATCTGCTGAGATTTCAATAAATAAATTAAATAACTGAGCTGAAAGGGTAACGTAAAGTTTGTGCTGTAAAAATTTCAATAAATTTACAGAATTTCTCTTAGTAAAATTTGTGTTCACCTTAATAAAGCTTATTATGAGGAGAAGTTTCGGGTATAAAAATAGTTGTCAGATATCGGTAAAACCCCGTGACAGTCTTGGTTAATTTCTGTCTTGTTCAACATAGAGAACCACATTGTAAAAATCAGGAAGAAGACAACAAAATGATACAATTGGTTGCTCCGTGAAGTGTGCTTTAACAGATAAGAGGTGATGTACAGTGCTCATCTGAGTATCTATCAAAATCCTTCAAAGAAACCAGAATAAAGAGTAAGCCTAAACAATTCCCAGAAATTGAAATTCTCTGGTATAATGATCAAGCTTTCCACCAGACTCTACAGAAGCTCAGCTGAAAAAAAAAAAAGCAGCAGCTCCTTCTGTTTATATTGCATGGTATCTCTGTGACTTCATCATGAATTAGTCCTCAAGTCAGCTCAGCTATGCTTGGAGACTAATGTGAAACATATTGAGGGCAAAACCTGCATGAATTTAATAAGAGTAGGAGTTCTTTGAGTGGCTTGGAGCCCTGAATTAAAATAAAGTTCCGTACACCATATATCATTTCCTTGATTTATTTGAACTCTATTATTGCTACTTTGAAAGGTTAAGTACATGCTTGCTTAAGCAGAAAATGTAAATTAAACGTTAGTGAGAGATGTGACACTAATAATGGACTTCGTAATTGTTACCCTATATGATATTGTTTCAGTATTTGAAATATTTACTATTTATATTTCTTTGTAAAGGGAATGCCTTAGCAATACTACAGATATTGAACAAACACTGAGTTTTTGTTGGCAGTGTCCACCAAAAGACTCTAAGGACACTTGTCAGTAATTGCAATATTGCTTATTCTGGTATCTGTTTCACCATGTTGCTGCTCTTGAAAGGCTCTCTCTTGAATGCCACGATGTGAAAATGAAAGCTTTATAGTCACCTATTTATAGAAATATTAATAGAGAATTAATTGGAAGCGGAGATTTGTGAACCTGATTGGCAAAAGAAAGCTTCCCTCTAGAGTCTTCTGTGCTAGAGCACAGGAGTTTGGGAACATCCTGTGGGACATGGAAACAGCAGCTGAGGATAAAATGAAGGAGAGGGACAACGACTGGACAAAGCATTTTGCAGATCAGAGCGAGAAGGTAGATGTAGCGAGAAGTTTCAGGATAGTCAAGGAGGACTGGGAGACTCCACAGTGCTCCTCAGTCAGCCCTGCTACCACATGATGGTCCTGGTGCATCCCCTCCTGAAGGTCACCAAGAGGCAGGTCCACCAGCCTTCCAGTCAAGCCAAATCTCCCTCAAACTGCTGAACTTGAAGGTAGCTTGTAGGTCAAAAATGTGTTCCACAGTGATATTCTTGGTATGTGTCCTTCAGTTTCATTTTTTGTTAAAATCCAGGCTGTTCCCTTTGAAATCATTGGAACATTTTTGCCTTTGGCTTTTGAAGAAGCAAGGTGAGAGCAGAGATTGTTTCAGTTTTCTTTGCTTTTTTTTCCAAACTGTCAGGCATGGAGCTATGCAAAAATTGATGGGTTTGTTTTGTGATCTTTTTGGGTTTACCTCCTCAGCTCTGTCTCACGGTCCCCACACAGCGAGCCCTGATCACCCTTCTAGAAGACGAAAACTCCTGGAAAAGGCATAGAGAGCACAACACGTGCAAAGGCACATCATTCCTCAGTTTAGCCACCCTAACAAAACCAGATCATCTGTATACCAGCAGAGGTTTTAGGTCAAAGCCTGGCCTTGCTGAAATGACAACCCCTTGGTGAATAAGTGGAGCCAGAATTTTTCATCCTTGTGTTCTTTTAAGGGATCATTGTGTAATGAGAATTAATTTATTGCTGCAGAGGTCAGAGTACATCTCAGAGTGAATAAAAGATAAAATTAATTAATAAAAAAGCATAGGAAATCCTTCTTTTTTGCTCACATTTTTAACCAATCTAGCAATTTAATAAAACAGCCCATTTTGATTTAAGGAAATAATTTCTTCTAAATAATAGCTTATCTCATTCCTTAATAGCAAATGGAGTAATTTACTGTCAGAAGACATTAAAAATACACTGCAAACACTGTCAGAAAGAATGTCTTGAAACTTCAGAAGTCTGGAAACATATGTTGTTAGCAGACAAAGCTGTGTTCATTAAGGTATTTCTTTTATACTTGCCTGGAGTACTATTATATATAATACTCACCATGGAACAATGGAGAATTTAATTAATGACTTCTGATAAATTAAAACAATATGTACATAAAATAGCTCACTCAACTAAAGAAATGCAAATGTCCGCTTTCAGAAACTGGCATTTGAGTTTACTTTGAGTTTAAAGCATGGGAACTGTTTCACGCATCCTTATCTGCAACACTATTCTTAGCTAATAGTTTTGAGCTTATTTTACTTCAGCAGAGCTACTCAAGGGGAATTTAACACGCATAGGCTGCTGGTATGTTGAAAATAATAATGCTCTATTTGGGGCTGCTACTATCATTACCCTTGTGAAGTATGAGACAACTACAGCATCAAAAATGTTATAAAACACTTCTTTGTATTGGGTGGTCCGTTACTGTGTGAAGAACTGAATCCCACTGATTTTGATCAGCTGTAGTATGCATGAAGTATTGGGCTATTGACTAGGAGCAACATCAGCAGAATCTAATCGGCGTTTGAAAACACACCGCGGCTAAAAGCATGGAAAACCTTTTATTATTTTGCATGCGGATTTTTTTTCCAGTTCATTGAAGGTATCTGCATCTTTTTTTACATTTCTTTGGAAATTTGGTAAAATTGCAGATAAAGAATATGTAGAAATGCTTTCTTGTCTATTTCCCGTTGAAATAACATGTCCTTGAAAAAGACTAATTAAAAGAAACCTGAGAGTGTAAAAAGAAAAAGGGAAGTTTTCTCAGGCTAGATTAAACATTGCTGCATCTTGCTTTATGTAAAAGATCTGTAATCTGTTCAATGAGAGCTGCTTTCTTTAAAGTTACAACCTTCTGTTATTCTATCCCTCACACAGGCTTTGGTTTATAACCAAAGTCTTAGGACACTGTTTGGTAAAAATTAATCCTACGATGTAATCCGTTGTTATTAACAGCACTTGCCATCTCGCTGTCCTGTTGCTTCTTATAGGCTTATACTGGCACTTAAATACCTTTCAAGTTCTGTAATACGTAGGAGAATATCAAATCATTGAAAAGAGTGAAAACCTCAGGAAGGGATATACCTCCTATGGGACATCTGATCAGTTCTGCCAAGCCATCACTTCCCATTCTTTTAAACCTATTCTAAAAGGGCTGGTTCTTCAACAGTCCCCACAAAAATGCAACAGTAATATTAACAGTTGACATGAAGAAGCAAATTCTGGTGATACCTTCCTCTAGGCTTACCTATTCTGTGCTTCTGTAGAAAATAAGCTCTTGCAGGAGAAGCATTTGCAGTGATTGGGGTACATCTCTGGGTACATTGCTAACACGTAATAATTTCAGACTACAACAGCATAGAATTTTAACCTTTCAGAGGGATGAAAGGCTGAGCTTGCAAAACCGAAAGAAATAAAAATGTTGAAGTTCAGAAGTCTCCGTGAAAATAAATAGCTCTCAGAAAGTAATAAGTTATATTTCCAGAAATTAGTACTGCTAGACTAGGCCAATGTAACTGTAATCTAAGTTCCTACAGGTCAGCAATAAACAGAGACTAGACTCTAGAACAAATCAAAACAATGTTAGCAGAACAGCAACCGATGTCAATAGAAGCAGACCTGCCTGCATTTCTTTGAAAATGTAGTACTGTGAGGCCTGAGAATCTGGAAGATAGTTTCTTGGGAATAACAACAATATGGAGAGCTACAGCCAAAAATAGGTGGATTGTTTACCTACCTGAATGGGGACTTTGCTCCATCCCCCGATTTTCTTTGCAAACGGCATTACAGTACAATGGATCAAAGTCTCTGTTGCACTGTTGCTTCACTTGGCCAGATGCGAGGGTCATTTCTTCACCCAAGTCCCAACTACTTACAGTAGCCAGGAGCTGCTCTAAAGCCCGACAACTTCCAAAAGCTTTTCAGTAGAGCAAGGATAGCTGCAGCAAAACGTGTGTCCTCCTCTGTGAAACAGGGGTCCAGCTAGGTGCTCGAGCTCCGTTTGAAATTCAGCGACCTAAACACACTTTGAAAAGGGCATCAGTCTTTCCAAATACCTAGACTGCTCAAAGTGGTGCATCCTTCTTGCACAAAAAAATTGTGTCAATGAATCTGAGCGATCCCAGAGGAAAAAAGGAAGGAAAGGCTGCCAACTTTGGTGCACACAAGCCTCCCCCATCAAAAGTGCCAAGTACATTTTTGTTCATTTCTCTAAAGCTTAATTTTCTGCACCTTGTTTCACTATGCCTTCAAAGAGTTATTACCTTTTAGGTACTTTCAGCTGAAGAGTTCAAAAAATATTTTCAGACGTTTGCTGTAATTTAATTCTTACATAAATGCAGCCTTGACAAGCCTGGAGAATGAAGACTGCTCATCTCCAGAACAGGTACAGCACAGCCAGAAGCTCTGCAATTTTTTCCACATTGCTCTATCAATAAACCCCAACCTTTGCTCAAAGGGAGTGCTTCTAGGAGCTAAAGGACAGTTTAATCTCCATGTCCATTCAGTTTTTGGCCTTTGTAAAGAGGCTGCCAAAAAAGTTGCCAATTAGTGCTAATTGTAGAGGAGGTTTTTGTGTTGTGCACCCTTGTCCGCTGAAAATTGGATTACAACTATCAAACTCATTTCCTATGCTGCTGATATGTTTTATTCAGGTCAGTGGCACTTCTACAATTAGCCTGTTTTAAAATATTGCCTGATGATACACAAAGAGAACAGGGTTTGGCGACTCGGTCGTTCTTACATTCCACTCTCTTTCTCTCAGCGTGTTACATTTATACGGGGGGTTATGGAAGCTGAGTTTTCTCAACCACAATACACAAAAACAAAATAAGACTTCAAGAGCCTTTTGGTTCTCATGTGGTTATATAATAATACATTAATATAAAGGATTTCCATTTTTAGACATCAAACCCAGGACAGATGTTTTTGGATCTCGTTGCATTTACTTAGTCTCCATTATTATGGCACACTTTGATCTGGAACATTCCTTGTCTGTGATCAAATGTAAAATGAATTCAGATTCATTCCCTTTCATCTCATGCGAGCAAGACGTGTGAACCATTTACTTAGCCCTGCTACTCTGTATGATGAGTATTGTCTTTTTCATTGGTTCCTGGTGGGTTTTTTTCTTTTTTTGGTAGATGAACCAGCTCCTTTATAAGATCTTACAAAAGACACTGGCAGACTGTCACTTCACATTTGTCAGGAACAAACCCCACAATCTCTTTAACAAGTGATGTTTTACAATGTCTTGCAGGAGATTTTAGCAAACTGATGTTAATTAGCCCGGAAAAAAAAAAGATAGCAATTAAGGCATCAGAACTGTCCTCAGAAATCTGAAAGGTTTTACTCAACTTCAGAGAGGTAGATATTACAAGGGCTAGCACTACGAGATATTCCTGAACTCCTCTCTCCTTATAACTACGTATAGTAGTAACAAGAGGAGGAGGATTACCCTTGTTTGCTGTCACTACTCAGGCTCAGCAAAAGTGTGTTGAAAGAGATTTTCACTAGTTAGTTTCTTTATTTTCACAGGTTTACATCACATCACTATCATTGCTGAATGCATTTCCTCCTATGCCTATATGTTGTAGCTAGAAGGGATAACAAAAAGGGAAATAGGAAAACCAAAACTATTCTTCTCTATGCAGTTTTGCTGTTAGCAGTTTAAAATAAAGCAAAATGCTGCAACATGTATTGAATCATACATCAGTTATTTAAATTCTGAACTTTAAATTTGTCCATAATAGGATTTTTAGCCTATGAGAACAATGAACTAAAGTTCATACAAGTTCTGAAGAACGGGTTCCTTCATATATATCCTGTACATATGCATTTTTTAATGTACATATTTGCAAACTACTTTATAACTGTTTCTTATGACTTACAGCAACACATTTAAAGGTGAGATACTATCACAGACTACAATCCCACAAGTATATAAGTGTGCATGTAACCACAGCAGTTTAAATTGCCCCTTAGAAATGTAGGAGGTGACTATAGAGCAGTCGCAGACTTCTTTAGCCACAATAGGACAGCTTTACTGTTTTATGTGACAGAGCTGATAGCATCACCTTTTCATAACTATCATGGTCCAAGAATGTGCTCACAGAGCATTATTGCTGTTCAGCTGACGTGAAAATACGTGAAGCAGCGGTAACACTGTCTCTTGCAAATGCATGGATATTCCAGTATAGTTCCATGGCAAAACTATACTTTCACTTTCTTACTTCTTTGTAGCAGCTTCTTCTGCTTTGGCAGAAATTCAATTCTGCACTCTTTTCTTCCAGCTAAGCTTTTGGAAGGGATTCTGAACA